CCCAAAAAATAAAAATGGTGTATGTGTGTGTGTGGGAAGGAGAGGGGTGCAAAAGCAGTGGGGAGTGGTGGGGGGAAGGGACAGACGAGGTCAGTACTGGGAACGCCGCAGGTGAGAGGCCATTTCATAACATTTCTTGTTGATCATACCACCGTGGACACCTTCTTTGCCCATCAGCAGGACTAGCGCTGGAGGAAAGAGAAAGGAGGCTAGGACCCAGGTGTCACAATCCCACCCCCTGCCAGCTGTTCAGCAGCTGTCCAGCCCTGGGGGCTGTAACCCAACCTCATCTCTCCCAACCCCCCACACACAGGCAGGCTGTCAGTCACCCTGAAACAATAGGGCTTTTCAAAAGGGGAAAATCAAGCTTAAAGGCTGGAAAGGAATACAAGTAAAATTTAGGGGTCAAAGGCTCCTGGACTATTGACTCGTGTTCAGGCTAGAAATGGCTGTAGATCAGCCTGCCACCTCGAAGTTTTAACAAAAGACCTCAAGAGACAAGAGCTAAATGCTAACTTACAACCAACAGTCTACCTCCTCCAAGAAAAGTTTCTCATCTAAAAAGTCTCAAGGCAAAAAAGGAACTTAAGAGATATTACAATTCAACTTCTTTATACAATGAGGAACTGAGACCAAACTCGTGGGACTATCCAATGTCCCAGCATCCAGCAGGCTGGGAGTAGAAAGCTGGTCTGATCCCTTCATATTGGGGGATCCACACAGAAAAGGACCCCAAAAGATTAATAGAAGGAGGCACATTAGGGATTTTGAAGCTAGCGAAAGGGTAGGATTCAGAAACTCACTCTTGGCAGTCATGGTGACAGTGATGTTGAAGGTGGGAGCTCCGCCCGTGCTCTTGGTACGAAGATCCATGGTAAATTCCCCGTCCTGCAGCAGTGAGTCCCGGATCACAGAACATTTCTGGCCCCCAAGCGTTAGCCCATTCACGAAAAAACTTGACCGGTCTTTGCCAACCAGGACACCAACCTCAGCAGGCTGGAAGGGGAACCAAGCAGCCATGAAGTTAGTACACCAAAGTTCCCATCTTCTTCTCAAAGGACCCACCTGACCCCCTACCTCTCCGGGGAGCTAAATCTCCTGGGAGGAGGTATACGTTATGTGCTTTTTATACATCCGTGAAATTTGAGAAACCATATGGACTGTTGAAAGCCCACAAAAAGATCACGATCCTCAAACCTAGAGAATGGTAATAGGAAGCGACGACATATTCGTCTAGAGACTTTGATGTATTTAATAGGGAAAGCAAACCCAGGATATAAAGGGGGCCAAAAACCAGTAAGGAGAGTGGAGTGGAATAAAGTGGGGAGCCTTTGGATGCTCAGAACTCTCCTTCAGGAAAAGCAGAAGCGAAGAGGGGAAGGGAGGGGGCGGGCGAAGCAGGAGAAGCAACTTTGCCCTTATTTGGTCAAAGGTTCTGCAGGAGTTGTTAGGGGCCCGGACGCCTGGGTCTCCAAGTAACCTAGAGTTTAGATCCAGGTATCTATGCTCTAAGTTGAGGCAGCAGATCCCCGGGGGCTTGCCGAGAAAGTTGAAAAACTTTTGGAGGGGACCTGGGGCTAGACCAGGCAAGCCAGCTCTCGGGTCTAGACACCCCAGGGAACCTATCTCCCCCTCCCCCTTACACCCCAAATCCCCACATCCGGTCCCCTCCCGCCCGGAAATCCCCTTCCCCCCTTTCGAACTTCCGCTCCCCCTCCCCACTTCCGGGCAGTGTGGACAGGGGAGGTGGTGATGGGTACAGCAGCAATCACCCCTTATTCCTTCACTTATACTGTCCTACAACTTCCCACAAAGTTCCCGTGCTCCAGGCCCCGGCGGATGGCGGGAAGGGAGGGCGAGGGGACTTCCGGGATTGGTCTCACAGGAATGTTGAATCCAACGTGCGAACTTGGGGGGGGGGGGCGTGTGGCGGCCTAGCCCTCTATAACGGAGTTGGGAGGGGCAGAAAGCCCACAGAAGACGGGCATGGGACCCAGGCCACGCGACCGGGGCTCCCTCCACCGTAAGAAGGAACAATGGTGGAGGGGGCGCGAGCTGGCGGCCGGAAGTGGATC